AAACTCGGACTGCTTGAAATATAGCCCTTTAATATCTCAGGCTGCCCATTCTGGCGAGGGTGCAGGGTGTTGTTCTGAATACTTGGGGAATACCACCGTAAAAGAAAATAATTGGGGATCCCAGTCCTTCTGCAGCTTCCTCCATCGCATCGCCTTACAGGATTGGTGAGGCACTTGGAGGGACCAGCCCCTTCCCGATCATTTGAATCTGCTGCCCCCTCCTTCCATCCAACAGGCCAGTTTGGGGGGCCGGAGGAAGGTGGGAGGGCACAAACATTTTGTTTGGGTGATATTTTGAGGGGGGCCGTCAGAAGTCGCAAATGCTGGTTTTCCCAGGGGCTGATGCACCCTCTCCTCTTCCCCACTTAAGGGGACCTCCTCCCCAATTCCAGAAGCAGTTGTTCTCTTGGTCCTTTTGAATGGTGCTTTGCCTGTAGCTTTCTCTCTTTTCTCAAATCCTCACTCTCCCCTTTGGCCACTGCGCTGTTCTGGGACCCTGGCGTCAGTTCCGCGCGGGGCGGAGGCCAGGGCGTCCGTGTCCCTGGGTCCTGACTGCCGGTCCTGACTGCGGGGATTCGGGCTTTTCTCCCAGCCCGGTCTCCGCGGCGTTGCCGGGCTTCCACCCCGCCCCTGCTCCAAGGCCCTGTCGCCTCCCCTCCTCCGTCAGCGCGGCCTGCTTCCTGCAGCCCGCCCGAGCCGCCTCACTCCGGGCAGGAAGGAGGGCCGCAGGGCTCCGAGTGCCCTGGCGAGAGCGTGGGATCCAGAGCCGGCCCACCCGGCCCAGCCCACTGTTCAGTTCCAGCTCAGCCTCCAGTCTGCAGGTCAGGATTGGATTCGATTTTTATTTCTTACAATGCGTGAATTTAAACCACGACGCAACACAACCCACATCTAGGGAAAGAAACGAAAGCTGGGGGAACGAGGGGCTAGCAAACGCCCTCCTGCCCTGATCTTCCCCTCCCACCTCTCCTCTGCTCCTTTGTCAGAATCACAAAACCCTAAAGGTTGTTCCACTTGGGAAGGCAGCGGATAGGTACATTTCCGCAGCCCCGAAATGCCACTTTTATGGCGCTGTTTGTCTCCCTGCGCAGGATTCTGAATGGGGCCGAACAAAACAGCAGCGCGGAGCTGGCTAGACGTCTGGGCTTAATTGTTTTATGGTTTAAATAAGGTGGACACTCTTTCCTTTGAAATCGGATTATAGGAATGTTTTGTCTATGGCCCACGGAGAACGGGACCTCACTGGCTGGGAGGGAGAGGTGGAGAAAGAGCGCGCGTGAGAGAGAGAGAGAGGGATGGGCTACAAACCAGGGGGCAAACAGTCGGGAGAAGTCAGAGTCCCACCCAAGTCCTGCAGGCGGCGGCGGAATAGGCAGTGCGGACCCAGCGGCAGGGTAAGAGGAGCGAGGAGTTTAGGGTGCGCGCCGCGGGCAGGAGGTCGCAGGAGCCTCGGAGCGTGCATCTGCGTGAGCGGAGGTGTTCCGAGCCCAGAAATGCGCCTGAATAGGGGGGGCGGGGGGGAGCCGGCAGCAGTTCCTTTGCATCGTGTCTCTTAATGCGGGAAGGGAGGGTGACAAAAAGAGAAATTTGTGTGAAACCTCAGGCAAGGTTTATTTGGAAAACAATAGGACAGCGGTCCCGGGGAGACTCCCTTCTGGGGACCCCCCCCCCTTTCTCTCTCTCTCTCTGTCCCTCTCGCACCCATTTGGAAACTCCTTCATCTCACTTCCCACCTTTGGGCCAAGGCTGGGACCTGCTTGCTCTATCTGTTGGCTTTTTCCTGGCCGGACTGCATTGGAGCAAGTGGACGCGAGGTGGCGCTATTGCTCAATGTTAGAGGCGGCGGCAGTGTCCCTGGCCGGCCTGGCCGCACTGACATTTGAGGCCCAGCCCCGAGGAGCGGCGGGGAAAAGGCCCCGCGCCCCGGCCCGGCCCGGCCCCACTGGCTCTGAGCAAACCAATCCTCTCACCTGCGAGGTGTAAATAAATCGCGAGTGGCGGCGGGAGATGGGCCCTAGCTCTGGCAGCCGGCTCGAGAGGCTCAGGAGGGCGGGCGTCGAAAATAATCGCTTTGCGAAGGAGATAAGCACCAAGCAGGCAGCGCGTAATTAACACAAAAAGGCAGAATGACCCGGACGAACGAACATAAATCCATGGTACCTAGGAGGGCGGAGCAGGCCTCGGGGCGAGGGGCAGAGACGCCCCAGCGAGGATGGCTGCTTGCGATTCCCTTATATCCAAGCTCCGGGAGCGAAATCAAGCAGATACGTGTAAAAGAGAAAAGGGGGGAGGGGGGAGGGAGTAAAAAGGGGGAAAAAAAGACAATCAAATGAAAAACAGAAAAGGCAAAGAACTCCCCCCCCCCTCCAAAGTGGAAATCGAGTCCAGCCAGGGGTTTCAGGACTGGTGGGCTCTCAGAGCAGACGGTGGTGGCGGCACACTCGGGGCAGTCGCATTCCAAGACACAAAGGCCTGGAAGAATAGCTCTGTGGCAGGGTTTTCGCTGGACCATAAAATGTCGAGATATCCCCCCACCCTCTAAAAGATAAGGCGCAGGCCCCAGAGCGGATCTGGCCTGCCGAGCCTCCTCTTTCCAGGCGAGGAAGGGAAAATATTTATGACAGTCCCCAATGACCCAGATGCTGGGAACCCAGAGCCCATCTCCTTCAGCTTGGTACTCTGAGGCTCAGAGACCGCAGGGCTGGGACCAAGGCTGGAGCTGGCTCTGGTCGTGAAGGAGACCCCTGTCATGCCCCACAGTGTCCTGGACCCTAGGGAGGCCTGCTGCCCTGGTGCAACCCTCCTCTAACCCTCCCCTCCTGCTGCTCCAGGGCCAGAGTTCCGGATGGTGCAGAGTTTGGGCAGCCCCTAATTCAGGTGCAGGTGGGTTCCTCCAAATTCAAGGGATCCTGGAAGTGTCCTTTGCTGGGGCACCAGGGGATGTCCTTTGGGAATTTGGCTGAGAGTGGCCATTTCCCCAGCAATTATTTAGATAATAGAGGGACTGGGGGGGGGGGTGTTTCTACACCATCCTTTCCTGCACTGCCATTCCTTCATCCATCCCCAGAGCTGGGCTCCAGGTGGGAAGGCAAAGATCCGGATTTTTAACAACCTCCTTCCTCATCCACCCGGGGAACCCCAGGATGTGGAAAGAAAATAGGTAGCGATTTTCTTCATGATGCGAAAAGCAAAAGATGCATGTGCGTCTATCAGGTCTTATTTTCCTATGTGCCTGAGTGCAGAGTGTTTGAGAGGTGACGGGGCGCTTCTGGGCAGGCATGACAGTTTAGGGAGCATGCACTCGGTGTGTTGCAGGGTGGAAGGTAGCACGTACAGTATGTGTGTATCCTGAGTGTGCCCCAGTACCGCCCTGTGTGTAACAACCCCGCACAACCGTGGAGGGGGAAGACCGGAAAAATCCTTCTTGTTCCTCTTCCTCATTCGTATGCACACAGCACACGTATCCGCAGCTCTCTCTCTTCTCCCTTTTCTCCCTTTTCTCTGTCTGTGTTAAGCCCCACGTAACTGTACACACTTACAGCCAGAAAAGGGTGCTGATGGACTAAGGTTCTTTTATTCGTTAGAATTACCTTGAATTTACCCAGTCTGGGGGTTGGAGGGAGGAACCCCCTAGAGAAACTGTGGGTAAATATTTAAAGAGTGTCTGTTGACAGTTCCCATCCGCATCTTGGCCTGGGGAGCCTGCTTGGGGAAGTAGGGGGTGCAGTGAAGCCAGGGGGCCCCTCCAGGCTGAGCTGGCATTTCCTATAGGGTTAGAGTATGAGAGGACAAGTCAGAGGCCTGCTCCAGTCCCCTCCAACCCAGACACAAATAGGCTCCTGAGAAGAAACATCCTGGATCATCAGCCCAGCCAGGGAGCCAGGGACCGTCCAGCTGCCCTGTCCCCATAAACTGCTTTGCTGTCAAAGCCCCCAGCCAAGTCTCGGGCAGGAGCTGGTGTCTGAAGGGGCAGTGCCGCCCTGACTTGGGTATGTGGAATGAGCCCCACCTCCGGCCCTCTCCCCTACCCACAGCAGACAGGCAAGAGAATCTTCGGGATGGTGGGAGACAGGGCGGCCTCCCACCCCAGGAGGGGCAGGAGACTCGGAGGGGGGAGGGTCGGATGCCAGAAGTATTGGGGGATCTGATGTGTTGATGTGCTAGCCCCTTCTGAGTGCCAGACTTAAGGACCCCCTGGGGAGCCCATCCTTTGGGTTAGGGGACCTGCTCTCTCTTACTGGCATCCAGCCTCCTGGGGGGAGAGTCTTGTACCTGTTGAGGTAACCTGAGTTGACCTGCTGGCTCAGGTATCTCTAAGAGGAAGGAAAAGGGAAGGGGGGAGAGGCACCTTCAAATCTGAATGCGCACCTTGGAGAAGCTGGCCTCAGCCATTAGCTGGGGCTAGCTCACCAACACCCCCCCCACACACACACACATACACCACACCCCCTCCCTCCCCCTTCCTCTCCTCCCCTTACTCCAGGTCCCCCCAGCCCTGAACCCCTCAACCCCCCGCCACCACCATCCCTCCTTCTCCCTCTCTCTCCCTCTCCCTTTCTCTCTCTCTCTCTCTCTCTCTCTCTCTCTCTCTCTCTCTCTCTCTCGCCTGTCTTCATGTCGTGGATTGATGAACGCGAATCGCGTGTAAGCGCCGCCACCGCCGGGAGTCTGAGGAATTCGCCTGGGCTGTTAAAGGAAAGAGCTAAGTGCGAGAGCGCGAGCTCTACCTACCGACAGTGAAGAGAGCCGCCGCCGCCGCCGCCGCCGCCGCCGCCCGCCGCCCGCCGCCCGCCGCCCGCGCCCGCCGCCGCCGCCCGCGCCCAGCCCCGGGAGCCGCGCCGGCCGGGCCCGGCACCCAGGCGCCCCCCACCTGCCCAGCCCAGCCCCGGGGAGCCGGCCGGCCCGGGGTTCGCTCCCGGGGGGGAGGGGACTTTCGGGGGTACCGGGCGGGGGAGTCGCGAGCCAGAGGGGAGGGGGCGGCGGGTTTTCATGTGCCCAGCATGAGCTCCTACTTCGTCAACCCCCTGTTCTCCAAATACAAAGGCGGCGAGTCCCTGGAACCGGCCTATTACGACTGCCGGTTCCCTCAGAGCGTGGGCAGGAGCCATGCGCTGGTGTACGGGCCCGGCGGCTCGGCGCCCGGCTTCCAGCACGCCTCGCACCACGTCCAAGACTTCTTCCACCACGGCACCTCGGGCATCTCCAACTCGGGCTACCAGCAGAACCCGTGCTCGCTGAGCTGCCACGGAGACGCCTCCAAATTCTATGGCTACGAGGCGCTCCCCAGACAGTCCCTTTATGGGGCTCAGCAAGAGGCGAGCGTGGTGCAATATCCCGACTGTAAATCCTCCGCCAACACTAACAGTAGCGAAGGACAAGGCCACTTAAATCAAAACTCGTCTCCCAGCCTCATGTTTCCATGGATGAGACCCCACGGTGAGAAGCCTTTTCTCTTTCCCCCTTGGTCTCCCGCGCTCCGGGGTCTTCCCCCCCTCCCTCGCCTCCTTTTTGTCTGCCCTCGCCTTCCCTCCTGGCTTTGGGGTCTCTGCGGCCCCACCCCCGGGGCCTGAGTGGGTCTCTCGAGGTTGGGAGGTTCGGCTGGGGGGTGGGGCGCGGGGCTCGCCTGGGATATTTGGGGGACTGGGGTGAAGGTGGTGTCCGGGTGCAAAGGGTTAAAAATCGTTTTCTCCTCCACTGTCTGTCTGTCTGCCCGTCTCCCCCCTCTGTCTCGCTCCCTTGCCATCTCTAAAGTCAAAGTTGGGGAGGTGGCTGGGCAGGGGCCCCTAGGACCCTGAGCTTATCATCAGCCTCTGGAGCAAACCAGTCTCTCCATAAGGCAGCGAGGAGCCTCAGTCCAGAGCAGTGGCCAGGCTTTCTGGGGGCAAGGGGAGACCCCTGCTTCCCTCCCCTAGCCGGCTCAGAGGGTGGCAAGACCCCAAGGGCAGGTGCCCCGGCTCTCTGGGGTACCCATTGCCTCCTGTCAGAGAACTAGCCTTAGGGCCACCACCCCAACTTTGCTTTACTTCCCTCAGTTGGAGAGAAGAGAGGGAGCCAGAGAGGAGAGAAAAAGAGTGCATGAGAGGGGGCCATGCAGATTAGAGGGCTCTGGGCTCCAGAGGACCCAAGCCCAGCTGCCCCCAGTCAAAGGTTTGTGGGCTTTCCTCGAGACCTTCAGAGTGGCTCAGGCCATGAGCCCCTCCAAGGGTGGCCCCTCATGGCCCAATTTCGAAGTAAAAGGGGAAGCGAGAAAGCGACAAGTTCCAGCGGGGATGGCCCGTGATTTATTTGCTGGTCTCCAGTTAGCAATCAGGCCAAGCAGTGATACATTCCAGGAGATCAATTATTTTCCTTCCTGGCAAGGCATTAGGCAGAGAGATTCGAGGAGGGGGCAGTGAGCAGAACCCCTCTTCTTCACCCCCAGACCTTTTGCCTTTCTTTTGGAAACAGACTTGTCCCCAGCTCTGCTCACCAAATGCCACTCTGCACTTGTAAACAAAGCTGCAGGGGCCAGTCTCCGGAGCCTGCAAGCCTGGGGGGACTCTGCAGTGCTCCCCTGGCCCCTGCCACCCCCCAGTTTCCTGCCAGACCCCAGTCCCTGCCCCCACCCCCACCCCACCTCCCAAGGTGAAACCAAACCAAACAAGCCCCCAAACTTTCCTGCCCTTGCCTGCTCCCTGCTCCCTCGCCTTGTCTTCAGGAGGGAGAGGAACTGAGGAGATCAGAGGGGGGACTTTTGGGGAGGAAGAGTGGCAGGGGAAAGCCGAGCCCCCACCCAAACATAACCAGACTGGGGTTCTATTCTGTCCAGCTCCGGGGCGGCGCAGCGGAAGGCAAACTTACAGCCGGTATCAGACCTTGGAACTAGAAAAGGAGTTTCTCTTTAATCCTTATTTGACACGAAAGCGCCGGATTGAAGTCTCTCACGCCCTGGGACTGACTGAGAGACAAGTGAAGATCTGGTTCCAGAACCGAAGGATGAAGTGGAAAAAGGAGAACAACAAGGATAAACTGCCCGGAGCCCGAGATGAAGAGAAGGTGGAGGAAGAAGGAAACGAGGAAGAAGAGAAAGAAGAGGAGGAAAAGGAAGAAAACAAGGACTAAGCAAAAAAGAGAGGAACCCCCCCCCCCCCTTAGCAACTCCCTTGAAGTTTCGTTTTATGGTAGCGGATAAATTGAGAAGTTTACGACTGTCATTTGCTTTTATAGAGAATAGAATGACACTCACAACTCTAACTACCTGTCAGATACTTGCAGCTCTGGTTTTATTACCTTTGGACTTCCCCCGATCTTTATTTGTTTGGGGGCTGGAGGGGGGAAGACTGAGACACAGCGAAAAGTTCGGACTCTGTCTCAGTCGTTGCCCCAACACACACACTTGTCCCTACCCCCACCCTTCGGAGTACTGCCTGGATTTTGAGGTCTGAGACCTGGCCTCTTTGGCCCTCTCACCCCTTCTTGCCTCTCTCCCACCTCCCTGCTTCTCTGGTATTTATTTTAGAGGGGAGCCCTCTCAAAATGCAGAAGAAGACCTGAGGCTTTGTTTTTATGCTAGGGTTAGTGTCTTCGATTTACTTTTTATTTTTTCCAAAGGAGAAGAAAGAAAAGTGAAGGAAGGAAGGGAAGGAAAGGGAAATGTTTAAAGAAATGGTAAAAAAAAAAAAAAAAAAAAAGATAGCAAGGAATATCCCTTCCCCCTCCCTGGGGCTCCCCCACTTAGAAAGACCCCCTTGACTTTCTCTAGAAACCTGATGGAAACCTGAAGGAGTTGCGGGTCTCTCCCCTCCCCCCTCCCCTCGGGGTAGATAGGAGCCTGCAGCCGCCGTTAAAATCCTACCTAGCCATCCCATGGTCACTCGGGCCCATGCCTTCCTCCCCTTCGCTGTCTGATTTCTGTCGTTGGGCCCAGCTTCCTCTGAGCTATACTAGTATTAGTGCTCAGAAATCACCATACTCATGAAAATAATAAGAATGATAATAATAATAATAATAATAATACTGATAATAAATCTTTAACATACTACCTAAAGGGAACCTGCAATAATCTTGAAAAAATAAAGACATTTTTGAAAGTCCTAATATGCAAGAAAAAAAGAGAAAAAAATTAAAATTAAAAAAAAAAGAAGGAAACCTCCGACGTATTTTATCACTACCTATAGAGAGAAATCCTGCTTTGAGAGTATTCGTAATGCGGTTTTGTTGTCGTTTGTTGCTGCTTATTTCACTAAGAAAAACCCCAACAACTAAGACTGCCTAGCCCGCCGGTCCCGTGCGCTTTTATTGTGCTTCTAACCCCAGTAGAGTAGAGCTAAATTGCACTGAATGTATAGTTAACTCTGTCTTGAATTCTCTGTTTATGCAATGTGCTCGAAAGAAAAAAAAAACGTTAAAATATATCTATAATAATAATTTTTGGTCATTTGTCTTTATGTCCAGCTATGAATGTAGATTTTGTGTCCCGGCAGCCCTGTTCCTGGTCCAAGTACTTTGTATTGTATACGTGAGTCATAATAAAAAAAAAAAAGGAGAAAAACATATCTGAAGCTGGAATGACTTGCTCTTTTCCCAACACCCCCTCCCCCCCAATTCTGTTCTCCTCCTTCCCTCCTTATCCTCCTCTGCCAAGCCTGTGGAAAAGGTCTCTGCCACTGATCTGTGGGGTGGGGGAGCTCACGTGGAGAGGCGCCTAGGAGTGGAGAGGGTAGTCTGGGCTGGGAGGGCAGGTGAAAGGTGGGGGAGGTGTCGAGGAGGAGGAAGAAGAGCAGTTTGCTCCAAGTGTGATCTTGGGAGAAACTTGGCTGCAAACACAGTGGGTTTCTGGGTCCCAATGGGAAGAAAGCGGCTCCCCACTTACTCACCTTCCTCCTCCTCAGCCTCTGGGCTGGGCCCAGACAAAGAATCTGTCCCCATGCCCCTCCCACAGCTAGGCCCTTTCCTTCCAGGGACTAAGGATGAGGCAGGGGGGTCCTTTCTGATCTCCATGTGCCCCTCGTGGCCAACCCTGGGCACCCAGCACCCAGCACTAGAACAGTGAACAGGGTGGGAACAATATGAGGCTCAAGGCAGCCTGGAGGACTTGGCTGGAGGAAGATGGCTAGAGGAGGGGAGGAGGAAGCTGAAGCCTTGGGGTGAGGGAGAGGAAAGAAGAAGGGGGAGGTGAGTGAGTTGGTACACCCAGCAGCCTGGGTCCAGAGTCTGATATTCAAATTCTGCCAGCACAGAGCTATTACTGTCACCCAGGCTGCTAGCATCTACTCCAGCCTCTGTTCTGGCTGTTTCAAACTGGCCCCTGGCTTCACCTTGGCAATTGGGCGGTCTGACCTGACCTTATAGTGTGGGCCATTGGCCTGGGGGGTGGGGAGGATGGACCTGCTGAGTGGACAGTCCTCCAGCCTGGCCACAACAGGGTAAGGAGAGTCTTCACTGGACTCCTCATTCCCCCAAATAAGGAGTTGAAGGCTAAGGGACTCAGGGGGCAAAGGGGTCTCTCACTCCTCCGTAGAGCGTCCTAGATAGAGAAATCTGTTTATGCCAGTAAGATTCTGGTGAGGTAACACCAAATTCCAGAGATACAAGTCTTCTGACTCAGTCAGGAGAAGGGGGAAAGAGAAGGAGATGGGATCTTCTGGTCCTTAAAACCAGATCCCCCCAAAGACTGAAATATTTTTGAGACCACATCTCTCTCTCTCTCTCTCTCTCTCTCTCTCTCTCTCTCTCTCTCTCTCCCTCTCTGTCCTAGTCAATTATTTCCCCATACTTAGGCCCAGGCTGACTGCTGGTTTTGTATAATTCCACCCGCATCTGGGTCCCTGGCCCCCACGCAAAGTGGTCTTAAATACAGGATTGGGTCAGGCATCCTTGATAGGGGACTCCTGCGGCCGGAGAGAGGCTGCCGATTAGAAGCACAGGCTGCAGGCAGCGGGGAACAGCGGGGAACAGCTCTGGGGGAAATCTTTCGAAACTTGGGGTCCCTGCTGCGAGCCGCTGCGCCAGCCAGGTAACCCCGTTTGCTGTGCGAGGCACCGGCTGCCCACCGGGGAGGCCCGATAAAACAGCGTTTCGCTCCGACCTCAGGCCTTCCCAAGGGCGCCCCTTCCAGACTCCGAGGGCCGGCCGCGGGCTGTTTTCATTTTTTTATGTGTAATTATGATTGCTTTTAATAAACATCGCCGGCCCCGTAGCCAAGTTGCTTGAACCCTCCACTAAGTGGCTCCGAAGAACCTTGCCGAATTTCCCGCACACCCAATGCCCCATTCAACCCCTGGACTGCTCAGCAATGCCCGTGGCCCCAAGCCGGGCGTCGGAGGGCGGGGTGCGTCTGGCGCCCGGCATCGCTCGAGACGCAAAGCCTCGGGTGGGCCAGACCGTGAGAGCTCCAGCCGCCCCTCCGTGCAGCACCCGCTCCCCCACCCCTCTGCCCACCGCCTCTTTTTTTCTCGTTTGGAGAGAAAAGGAGGTAAAACCCGTTTTATGGGGGAACTTAATTGTGAGCGGGATGCGCTCTCTTTAGAAACGCGTCCTCCCAAATGCTCCCGCCGTCCCATTACCGGAATGGAGACCATTCGGCTGCAGCAGATAGGACTTTCTCCCATTCTTTACTTTTTTATTAGCCAATCAAAGTGGCTTCCGAAAGCTATTTGTGATTTGTGAAAAATAGTATCTTTCGAAATGCTGAGTTGAAGCATCTCGCTCATTTCGCCTTGAATTTATTATTCTAATCTCAGCCGTAGAGACGGGATAATGCAGCTATTAAGTTGGGGGGTAAATTCGTTTCTCTGGATTTTTTTTTTTTTTAATTCTCGTCATTTTATCTCCCCTCCCATTTCATTGCAGAGGCCAAGGGAGGTGTGGGCCTGCAGGGGACCTGGGGGGGGTGAGGGGGGCAGTGAGTGCTCTAAAGGGCTTTGGGGGGGGGGACCCTAGGATGAGAGAGTTGACTGGCCTTCCCTAGCCTCATCTTCCTCAAATGAGCTTCCCCACTGGCTGCTTGGCGGCTGCAGAAAGTTACCTCGCCCCAATTAGAGTGAACTCGGGACAGGTTGGGCCACAGACTAGAAGTAAAATTTCCGGTGAGTGGCCGGCAGCGCTGTCCCATTCTCCCAGTGGCCCATTGTGAAAAGCTGGCCCAGGGCTTCCTCGTCGTAATTTTTAACTACCTGTTATAAAATTTATGGGTGGGTTTGTAAAAGAAACTAGGTCTCTGCATCCGGCTGAGGGAACTGCTTCCCTTACTGAGGGAGGAAGTTTGGGGAGGGGACGAGGGACCCCCCATGGGTTGGGGTGGGGCACCCAGCCCTGGAAGTCCCCGTGCCAGCTCCAAGCGCCATGGAGGGGAGAGCTCTGGGCCTTCAGATCTCCAGCTGGTGCAGAGTGTATGGGCTGTGGCTGGGCTGCTGCGACTGGTCGGCAAATGATCTCTATGGGGGAATTTATCCTGGGCTCCCCCACATTGGACTCATCGCCAAAATTAGGGGTCTGGAGAAAGGTGGGGGGACACCTTGGGTGCTTGGAACTTAGCACAGAAGGTGGGATTTGGGGAAGGATAAGTTTCTTGTTTCCTGGCCTCCAAGGTGTATTCCAGCTGTTGGGGCACCAGAATTTTTCTGAAAAAGGCAGGTGGGTGTGGGTCACCTGACAAGACAGAAAAGGCTTCAAACTGCCTTACACTCAAAGGAGAAAAAGATAAACAAACGTGGGAACCAAGATCTTGGACCTTCATTTTATTTTTAATTCTAAAATGATTGGGAATAAGCTGCCATCTGAACCTGGGAATTGAGGACAGTTGACACTATGGATAGTCTTTTAGGAAAAATGTTTGAAGGAAAAATGTCATTTTCTCTGAGAAAGGAGCCTGAGGACGACAGGCTCTTTGGGGGTGCTGGAGGCGGCCCCCAACTCTCACCCCTCCTGCTGCCTCCGCAGGGCTGCCCAGTATGGGTCTAAACCCTCGCTCTTCAGACCACGGCCAAGTCAGGCTTGGTTGGGAGGCTTCAGCGGGCGTGTCCCTCCTGTTCCCGTCTAGGGTGGAGTGGGGGGCTGCCGGGGCTCCCCACTGGGAAGGATGTAGTTCTCTTGATAGAAAAAAACCGGTAAGAGTAGGAAGCGCATCCCTGCTCAATCGCGTCACCCGTCACTGCTCCACCAATGCCACAACCCTTTGCAAAGCTTCGCTTTCCCCAGATCCAACCTTAATACCCCATTTATTAAGAAAAATATTTAAAATTTGGTATGGCAAAGGGAGGCGGCCGACTCAGCGCCAGAATCCTTCCTCGCCTCCTCTCGCGTCCCTCCTTTGCCCTTTCTGCGCTAGCCTGGAGCTGCCGGGCCCGTGGGGAGTGGGAGGTGGGTGGGGGTGGGGTGGGGGTCGGGGGATGCTCCCTCTCCGGGAGAATTGGGTAAACATGGCGACCGCGGCGCCCATTTGCACACGCTACACAAATGCATCGCATTCCCGGTTGTTTGCAGAAAATTTACAGCTGAGTAATAAAAGTTTACGATCGACTCACAAGTTGGATTGGCCACAAGAAGTCATGTGGATTCCATCCATGAACGT